AGCTTCCAAAATTTCAGTAATTGTAATTGGTATATTCAATTCATCGAAAGCACAGCCAGAATCATAAAAATTATGTTCTTCACAAAAATCATTTGCTTCTTCATTATTACATTCAAAGACGTCGTTATATAAATGTTTAAAATGACTATAAAAATTTTCTACTGTAATTTCATTGTTTTGTGCTAAATTTTGTTTCTTTTTAAAGTACTTCCAAAATTGTTTCGGTTTGCTGAACCTTAATTTTTCTATATCTGCATATTTGCTTCTTAAGTAAATATTTTTCTTTTTTCTTATTATATTCTTATATTCTTGTTTACATCTACAAAAATATTCACTACTTGATCTTGTTTTACATGCATTAAACGCATTCAAAGCGTCTAAATATGTCGCTTTTGTTCTTTTACATTCATTGTCGATCTTTTGCCGGGGTCGTGTCGGAAAATGAATGATTAATTCTATTAGGAATGTTTTTTGAGAATAAAGGGTCTGCCACATTTCTTATTAGGCTTGTAAAATTATTAAGTGCATCGTTTATAGATAACCGATTACCATTTTCAATAGCGCAGGTCAACCTATTAAATTCTGGCAATTTAGCGATCAGACTGTTTCGAAATGTATTTACATGATTATCATTCCATTTATAGCGTACAAAAACATTTTCATTCACCACCGGCTTTATATTGTTACAAAACAGTGAAAAACTAACGGGAGTATGGTCACTCCATTCATTTACGGAATGTATAATAAAATTACAAATATTTGCGAAATTCTTTTCATGAGTTAACAGATAATCTATTACGGATGCTCCGTTATTGTTACATAAGTATACGAGCCAATATTAAAGTCACTCCCTAATCTACCGTTAACTATACGTAGATTATTTGATATACAAAGATCAAGCAGTTTTGTACCAAAAGCATTACATATTTTATCCATTGAGGCCCGTACAAGGTCATTATCGGGAACGTAATCAAAATCATCAAAGCATTCATTAATTCGGTCCAGTACAACAAAATCTCTTTTAACTCCAACCCTTGATTTATAATCCCCTATCAGATAAATAGAGCCTCTACTTTCAAAATATGCTATATCATTTTCAATGCATTCAAATAAGTCTACGTTAACTGTATTGTACGCTGGAGAATCATCACCCCAGAGATAAACCCCACATAAATATACGTCATTTTCAAAATGAAAAAAACATTTGTCTAATTTAATCCATATTATGGTATCGAATTGATTTTTTATCACTGAAATACCAGAAGACAGTTCTGTTTTATAATATAATGCAACCCCTCCGCTGGCTCTCTTTGCTCTTCGGTGTTGAAATTTTCTGTAGAAGTTGTGAACATTATAACCTGTTAATTCTAAATTACTGTCACTATAAGCCCATGTTTCATATAGAAATATAATATCATGTTGGGCCAAGATGTTTACTAATTCCGAATTGTCCCGCTTAGTTCTACTTAATCCATTGATGTTCCATGATAATATAGACAGATCATCCTCCTCGTATCCCTAGTCTCGTACAGGTTTCCCGTTGATGTAAAGGGTATCGTAAGATATCCATGATGTTTTACCTTCACGCCTGGCCTCTTTCATTTTAGGTAGAAGGGATTTCCTCTTATCAACAATCTCTTTTGGGAACTGTTCATTCACAAAATAAGGGGTACCTGACAATGATTTCCACTGCTTTCTAACAAACTCTTTCTCCTTATACATTGTAAATTTGGCTACAATGTTGCGGATTCGCCCGTCTCTTTTGATACCCATCCGATGAACTCTTTCAAAAGACATTTGAGTCACTAAATCTTGCGCAATTTTCATTTTTTCAACCAGAAATTCTCTTAATACAGATTCTGTGGTTTCGGCAGACTCAGTCAGGGCCTCACTGATATTTGAAAACACCAGATTATTACGCATTGACTGTGATTGTAAATAAGTCAAGTCATTTTTAAGTTCATATTTTTGATTTTCAAGTGAAGTTATCTTTGTACTTGTTTGAGATAAAATAAAGTCTATACTCTCAGTTTTTTCTTGGACCTCGTTAAGCTTTTCATTTGATTTTTTGTCCATGTCATGTAGATATATCCAAATCTTATTTAGTTCAACACTGAAACTTTCAACTTTTTTGTTCAGATTTTCAATAGCATCAAATTTTTTGTCCATTTCAGTAATTCTACTATCTATGCGCTTTAAATATGAAAATATATCTGCATTTGACGGTTGTTCAGAACTATTGATATTCGACGCCATGTTGCTTGCAGGGTGGGTGGGGGTACTATGTTGCTTCTCAGATTCATCAACAAATACGTCAGTTGAGTTTAATGCATCAGAATGTTCATCACTAAATAGGATATTGTTTGCTTGGCTTAAAATTTGACTTACATTTACAGAGTCTGTTGATTTATTCAAACTTGTCAAACGTCCCGCCTTTTGCACACTTCCATTGTTCTCACTTTCACTACTTTTTTTCCTTTTATCTCTTCTATTTCTTTCATTTTTTCCCATTTGATATATCCAATATGTCCGTAAATATATTATATCTCAAATCATTCAATAATATATATTACATTATTTGTATAAATATCCAAAAATTCGTTTATTTGCCTTTTTTTCACTGGTTAGAAAATTTTCACCTTGTTTTGATCACGTGACTTTTTATTACCCCTGTATTGAAAATTTGAATTTTATTACAAATGGACTATCAAATTATGATGTATGCCCTAGAATTGAATAAACTTTCTAATTACACAATACGGGGTCATACTGATCTTTGCGTCTTTCTCTGAAATAATTATTTCCTTGTTAAAACAAATTTGACCACATATTTCTGTCAATTAACTGTTCACTTTACTTCCGATTTTGTTGTACGGAAACACATGTTTCTATTTGTGTTTTCTAATCAATTCGAATCTATAATCAGTTTAATGGGATCACCACCGGGTAAACGACTACTAGGTACTTTGGTCATGTTTTTTACCACAAATATTTGAATGTTTCTATTGGGATTAAAATGAGCATAGTGAACTAAACAGCTGTTTGTATAAATTCCTGACCTGTCTAATTCTAATTATGAGATTAGTGAATATATAAGACTTTCACTACAAAATATTCCTAAACAAAAGAGCACATGTTTAAATTTATTCCTATACAAATAAAGATCAGAGTAGGGATCTGTCAATTACCAAAGATACTTTTATGTTAAAAGTTTGATTAATGAATTATGTAAGATGAAAATATAAGTATTGCTTTTGTATTTTGCTAATGTAAAATGTAATGTTGTGCTGGAATTTTGTCGGAGGTCCTTAAGTGTTTTGTAGTTAAATAGTTTTTTTCGGCGATAATGGTTAAAGAATATAATGTTTTTAAAATATATGTTCATCACCATCAGTGAATTTTTAGTTAAATGTATGCAAAATATTTACTAAACAGCTATATGATTTAGCGGTTTATGAGCGTTTTCCGCGTACAGCCTCCTGGGGTGTACAAATAAGTTAGTTTTCCTTAGTTATCACGCAAGCATGATCCATGTCTCTGATGTAAGCGACAGTTTACAATTATTTGTCTTTAAAAAATATTAAGGACTATTAATAGTTTATAACAACAAAAGAACATGCATGATATTGAGAATAGGTAGTTGCAACGTTCTAGTTAATGACCCGTCATAAACAGTTGGTCGCTGCGTAGTAATTGGAAAATTGTTATCAAAAATAATAAAGAATATTTGCCACTGAATTAAAGCATTTACTTATAAATTTTCATTTATGCTTTTTGTTAAAAAAATATGGATAAAGTTATTATTTTGAAGGGTTTTCATACCAGAACTATTTATTACAGACGTACGTATGCCTAAACCTGATTACCGCGGCAGTATGACGTCACGGAGTAGTGATTTAAACAAATATCAAGAATTTTTCAGAGAATTATTATCTTTACAAATTGCAGATATGAAATTAAAGAATGAAAATATTTTCATATTGTAAATGTCTGTGATGAGTGATGAGTCAGCTTAGAAAAAATCAAGGTACTATTTTTTGACCTGATTACCGCGGCAGTATGACGTCACGGAGTAGTGATTTAAACAAAAATCAAGAATTTTTCAGAGAATTATTATCTTTACAAATTGCAGATATGAAATTAAAGAATAAAAATATTTTCATATTGTAAATGTCTGTGATGAGTGATGAGTCAGCTTAGAAAAAATCAAGGTACTATTTTTTGACCTGATTACCGCGGCAGTAAGATTTGACAGACAGTTATTAACATTGGGTCGGCATAGCCTCCCCAAAAAATCGAATTAAAGTCAGTCATTATTCAAAACTCCCAAGTTATTAGTTAGTTTTATAAAATAAGTGTAATTTTACGAAATCATTAACCAAAAAGTACCGCAACAAGCTCATATAAGTTTCTTTAGAAACAGAAATGCATGTATATAACATACAATTTATGTTTGTTTTAGATTCTTAAACTAACAGATTCAATGCATTTAAAGTGACATTGCGCTTATCTTTTTCCACAGTCTAATTTAGCTGGATTAGCAATATATCTAAAAGTATTGACTATTATTTGCCAATAATTGGTAATGACAAATGTTAAGCATAAGACATAAAATCTGCCTAAAATATAAAAAAGACTGCCCAACACCTTTGAGTGAACGTCACTGGTTTTTTACGAAGTATATTTATAGAAATTTGTTTTGTTTACGTGATTTATGTGTAATAAAATAACAAAAAAGTAAAAACACAAGTATGGCAAATGTATATTTATTTTTTATCGTATACTCATACTCCAACGATTTACATTTGGATCATCATAATGTCAATTTTATGTAGGCTTAAAAAACACAGAAACAAACACATAAACAAACAAATAAACAAACAACAACAAAACCGCACATAATATTTCTCTAATCTATGATTCAAACATCATGTAATCTTCAAAAAAATCCTTAATTTTGTCGCATTGTGTGTTTGACAAATGTCATTATACATTTTCAGGGTTCGGATTTGCATTCGCCAAACATTTTGACGAGCTTGGGTTTGTTGTTTTTGCTGGCTGCTTGAACGAGAAAGGTGAAGGTGCAGAAAAACTCCGCAATGAATGTTCCAAGCGATTACATGTTGTTGAGCTGGATGTTACAAAAGATAAAAGTGTTTCAGAAGCATTCAAATATATCAAACAATATACTCCAAAACATGGTACAGTAGCAACTTCAGTTTCTATAAAATTCGTTCTAATAAGAAATGTGTTACTGTTTCCTATTGTGGTGTTGGTTGATTGTCTGATTTGCTGGCGGTCTTAATACTTACACAATTTGTATGTTTGAACACTCCTTTTTGTTTGTGATCAGTCCAGGAACCTATCTTCCTGTTGATTATAATTTATTTTTGTATAACTTGTTTGTACAGTTCAGATAACTGTACTTAAAATTGTGTGTATTCTTATAGCATTCCTTCAAGAACAAACATGCCTATATAGCTAAATACTAAAGTAAAAAGTGAAAGTTGTACTTTGTTTTTTACCATCCGAATTGACGTCTATAATATTAATAGCAATGTTACTTAAGTAAAGAAGTTGAAACTATTTGTTGTTCGTATATATACCAAGGTTGTTAAATAAATACGCGAAATTACTCCATAATTCAATATCTGGATTAAATATTTAAAAGAAAACTATTGAAATCCATGATAAATATATATTATCAGGCACAAAATGACGATCAAACAATTATTTGTACACATAACATTAAACAAGGTCATATATCACCGATTGCCGTACGTCACATAAATATATATAAATAATATAAATTATATTTGTATTACATAGAACTAATTTCTTGTTTATATGTTGGTTAACACCTTGTAGTTATTTTATCAGGTTTGTGGGGAGTTGTCAACAATGCGGGTGTTAATTTTAATGGGGAGATTGAGCTAACCACAGTGTCGCAACTAGAGAGGACATTTGAAATCAATCTATACGGACCAATTAGAGTTATACACTCATTCCTACAACTTATCAGACAATCTAAAGGTAAATGAGCCGCGTCACGACAAAACAAACAAAATGGGTTTGCAACCAGCATGGATCCAGACTAGCCTGCGCATCCGCGCAATCTGATCAGGATCCATGCTGTTCGCTTACCAACTCTATTACAAGTAGAGAAACTGATAGCGAACAGCATGGATCCTCGCTGGTCTGGATCCATGCTGGTCGCAAATCCATTATGTTGGTTTGGTCATGACGCGTCTCAAATATGCTTAGCATCACAGCAAAAATTCTTATTTAAATTATTTAAACATTTGATACAAATTTATACGAAAAATACAACTTAATCAGACTGTTATCTTATATATTAATGTCCATGTCATGAAAGGTTCACAGGACGGATCTTTTTTCTGTTTCTTTATTTTTTCTCGGCGGTCGATCCACCTACATGTAGCCTGCTTTCCCGATAACTAACCAGTAGTTACCATCTTCTTCGTTAGTGACCAACTTTTTATTTTTTTAGTTGGATTTCACGTCGCATTAACAAAGTACAGCTTATATGGCGACTTTCCAGATTTAATGGTGGAGGATGTCCCTCCGTGCATTATTTCAGACAAGAACGGGCACCTGAGAAGAACCTGAGAAGAACCACCGGCGTTCTGTTAACCAATCGGCTACGTGCGCCCGATTTTATATACCAGTAACTTATACCAGTTATGCAAAATGTTGACCACTATTAGACTTGAATTCATTTTCCGAACTATCCAAAAACATGCATACATGTACATTCTTTTGGCTACAGAGTTAAAAACAACTTAACATTTTATAGATGTATCAATGGAACACACATTTATTGACCAATTCATCATATGAATTTTATATGAAACTTTGCTCTTAAATGACATGTTAAGTATTTTGAGTCAATGTCAGCAATTTTAAGAATAGTGTTTCTACTTTCTATAAAAATATATTGCTATTATTGGGCGGTTGGTGAAAGTTTGTATACATACATTAATCGAAGTAATCGGCCAATATTAACTGTCCGGGGTGTGCTTTACTTATTTCCAGGTGTATATAGATCTATTCATTTATATATTAAAGAACAGAACAGAACAGAACAGAATTTTTATTTTCAAACAGCTTTTTCTTGTTTAGGACGGGTAGTAAATATCACAAGCGCTCATGGTAGAATTGCTTTACCAGGAAAAGCAAACTACGAGACTGCAAAGCATGGTATTGAAACATTATCAGATTCTCTGAGACTTGAAATGACAAAGTTTGGAGTAAACGTTAGCATTGTGGAACCCGGCATGTATGGAAAGTCTACTTCAGTTACAAGTGCAGCAGTGGTAAGCCGACATATTTTACAAAACATAAAAGTAAAACTAATATAGGAACTTTAAATCTAACCTTGTCTTTGACAGAAAAACAATCGGTCGAACAATGAATTGGTTCAATTCCTGCCAACATTGTTAAACATAAGTTTAAGCATGTGCCGATGTTGAAAATTATCAAGTATGCATTTCAGTTAATGGATAAGCATGTACCAATAATTGCCATTCAAAACATAATTCAACTTATCGCCAAGACACCTTTATACGCTCAGTGTTCACATCATTTTTGTTATACAAAATGTTATGACGCATCTGCAATTTGACCCGAATTTAAAAAAAGCTCTACATAGATGTACAACTTAACGCAAGATGTTGCACAATTATTATTTAGGTAAAACGCCAAATCCTAGAGATTGAAGAGATGTGGGAAAACGCAACGCCGGAGGTTCAAAAATCATATTCAAAACAATATTTAATGTCTTGGATACCAAAACCGATAGGAACATGGCCTCCAAATGATGACGTCACTCCTGTTAGCAAAGCAGTAGAGCATGCGCTGATAAGTTCTTCCCCGAAAAGGAGATACCTTGTCGATGGATTTGCCACTAAGCTGTCCTTTATAGACGAGTATACTGTATGTAGCTTTTTATAGTATCTGCATTACAACTAATTGTTATAAACAATGTCGTAAGCTTGATTCAAATCTCAATTTATATAATACCGTTACTATAAAGGTGTTAAGAAATTATTGAAAACCGTAATCGTCACCTTATATGACAATAATTAAAATATTGCAGACTAATATTTGTTCCATGGCCGCATTTGACGCCCTCTTGCACCGGCTTAAGCTAAATAAAACATATAAAGTTACAAAATTTTGTGATAAGGTATCAAAACATCCTAAGATGTATTTAATCGGTGGTTATCATCAATTTTTTCATGTATTGGTCTGCAATACAGAAATGTTTGCGCTTTGAAAATATGAATGAAAGTTAGAAATTAAAATGAATTTGTATGTATTAGGGAACGTAATTGTGCACAGTCATTGTAATATTTTAGGGTTTTGTTTTCAAATTTATTTAAGTCATTTACATGAAACGCTTATACTAACAATGCTCTGTAAATGGTCCCCTTGCTCCTTTACGTTTTGTTCAGTATTGAATACTCTTTAAACTGATGCACACTATATTCCATGTTGTGAAATATTAAAAAAAAACAAACAAAAAAAAAAAAAAAAAAAAAACACTCATTTGCAATACTTGTTCATTCGTTTTGTGCAAAGTACTGTCCAGGAATCTTTAGATTTCAGTAACGGTTAAATACATATTATAGACATATGTTTCTTTTACTTCATTTATCACCCTCTACTTATATAGAATGAATAATATAATTGTTCTAAATGTATATGTTACTTTTGAACATCATATTTATTTCAGGCATTGGCACGAGTGAACAATATTCTACCAACATGGATAACGATAAAATGCATTGAAGTATTGCGTAACTGTTACAAAAACACCAAATAACAGATGTGCCGATTCGCTTATTGTTGTAAAGATTTGTCTTTTCTTGAAAACTGTGTTAAATGCTTACACTAAGTTTTTTTTTCTGAATTTTGTCTTGTTATCGGTGACTTGTATTGGTGTCTTTTACTTTTAGTCCTTTGTACTTTTTCTTATTGTTGTTATTACTTTATTCTCGTTACTGCAAATTATTCAAGACTTTAGATTATTAAATCTTATGAACAGCTGATTGCTAAAGCTGTGCTGAAATTTATAACAATTATTATAAAAAATACATGCTTTTTTGTATTGAAATAACATTTTTTTTTGTATTTAAATATCAATAGTTTGTGAAACACATGCAATGTTCGTCAGTGAAATTAAGGAGAAAATTAACAAACATCGTCGACACCCTTTTAATTGATTTAAATACTAGTATGATTCAACTGAACAAAAATATTGCATAGTCATTTTATTAAACAGACTGGATGGATGGTTGGTATTTTAGTATGCCCATTCATTACCTTAAATAATGACGTTTAGTTATGTAAACTATTCGTGAATGTGTATGTGCACGTTATTCAATTTTTGCATAATTACTTAACATCAAAATGTACAACATTCTTTAACGTATTTTGCTGATCTGCATGAATAGTTGCACTGACATTATAATTCTTATATTTTATTACTGTTATACTCATATGATGCATACGGTGATATAAATGAATGAAAATTAGTATAAACAATTGAATGTATTAGTTGTTTAATTAATACTAGTTAAAAGAATTATTATGTAAATTGAAGTCCTGATTTATAATCTCCCCGAATTACGCGTACCACCTCATTAACATTGTCTTTTTTGTTGTTGTTGTTGTTGTTGTTGTTATTTTTTATGATAGAATCTGAAGTCCCTGGCAAGATCTGAATGGCTTAAACGACCTTAACTTCTCGGCCAGGGACGCCCCGGATCCCTCACTTTCCCCCATTTAGAAAAGTACATGCTATTTATTTAGCATATGTCAAACTTTAAACAGAGCTTTTTATGATGCATTTAGCTGATGAAAGCTGAATTCGTATCACTGGTGAAAGTTTTAAAACTATCATGCTATGTTCAAGATATAATCAGATATTCGAGCCCACGGGGAAGATGACAATTGTAAGAAGTTTGTGACATCAACTGTGTTGCCGAGATATTAAAAATACCGAACGTCAAAACGTACTTTATGTTTTATATCGATCAAAATGTGCACTCAAATAAGGTAACTGTTTTTCATTTATATGGTATTAAATTTCTCATGTATTTGTATTTCGCAATCTCGCTATGGACGATGAATTCGTGCACATGAGGATATAATTAAACTAAACAAACGAAAGGCATGTGGTTCTACTCGGTTGTCATCTCGTTAGTAAAATATTGCCACACCCATTGAAGATTGAAAGTCGAAGCATGACCGCTACAGTGTTAGTGTAACTTCAAGCTCAAGAAAATCATTCTAATCACCCTATTATAATGCGATACCTGATAATATAATTGGCTTTAAAACAGGACTAAGTCATTAAATGCCCTTTTTGTCACAAGAAAGGGTCATAAATAGGTCAATTAAATGAGAAATGACTATTCAATATATGGGTTTAATTAGATATTTGTTTTCATAATCAAGGTGATACCACAGTGCAACAGAAAAATGGCATAATTTAGAAGTTCAATATACCAAAAAAAGCACTTAATTATCTTAATTCATAGCTGTGTCTTTATGTTCCTAAAGTTCAAGCGTTCATAAATTATAAAAGTAAATGTCAAAGCGCAAGTTGTACATCCTTTTAATTAGCAAAGTTAATTTAGCATAAATACACACGTGTATTTTTGATGGGATTTGAATGGCAACACTTTCTCGTGGGGTTTTATTTGTAAATAGTTTGTTTAAGTTGAAGGTATAATTAGGTTAATAAAATTAATTAATCAGAATAATCATTCCTATAATAATACATAAAAAGCAATAATATGTGGATCAATTTGGTACCCAATGAAGGTCCACAAATACCCCTTAATTAAAAAAAGTTGCATTTTCTTTTTTAATTTTGCCTGGTCCGATGTTTATGAAAATGGAGTACATTAAGAATAATAAACCTTCATAATTATTTATAAATTATCTAAAGGGAGGATTTCGAAGTGCTGCAATACTGAAACTTTGGATAAAGTTCACTAGAGCAATGTTATTATATTTAACGGGTGTTTAAAGTTGTAGATATAGAGTGAATAAAACATTTATTATTAAAAGTAGGTCAGAGCAGATGCTCTTTATTGATAAACAAATATGCAACTGAATGATGTATAACTGAGCTCAATATAAATACTACCACTTCTTAAATAATATTCATATCGCATTTAACAACCTTTAAAGGGAAATCTTAAAGGAATCTCATGATATGCATGACAGAGAAAAAAATTATCTGTTGAGCGCTGATTACAAATCAAAAGAATAAAGACAGATTTCAACAGTGTTTCCATGTCGTTCAATCCAGAATGCACGTTTTAAATTTATAGCCAAAAAAAGCACCAGTATAGTAAATTCATACATGTTAATAAGTAAATAATGCTGGACACAACTTCCTTTATACGCAAATATACTTTACTCAAACTAATATGCATCATCTAGCTGGACTTATATTCGTCTTGAATTCTGATCAACCGGTGCTAGCGGGCGTGTACGGTACCTTGCAATTACCATTTCTATCCAAAGACAGGCTAAAAAAACAAGCCCGAAACATTTTCAATTTTGCCGCTTTGGGTTTCTTAAAGGATTTTGTTTTCTTTTTATACTAGACCAATCTTTATATATATACAAATATTCTTGTACTGCACAGAAAATATACTGGTTCTTTCCTTATATTAAAAAATGAATAATTGATTTAGTACGTTTTTATTCACAAAGTGGTGCATGTACACACGGTTTTATGAACGTGATGCGTTAACTATGTATTTAGTTCAAAATTTCGTTATGTTTGAGTTACGCTACAGTCATTATTTTTATCCTTAACTGAAGGTGGGAAAGGTCAAGTTTTATCTTTAGTTTACAAATTTGATTATATTTGACCTTTATATACATGAATGTCTTAAACGGAAATATGTCTTGTAAAGAAAGTGGATTATTAAATTACGATATTTATAAGATAACGTTCCTTTTAGCAATATGCATGTCTGCATATGTGATGTGGAAGTTCTATGTAGTTGGTTTAATAGTGTTATGTGGGTATGCACTAACAGCATACATAAAAGACAAGTGTGCGGAAGATGTAGAAACGGATAATCGAGCTGTATTCATAACAGGCTGTGATACAGGTATGGCATAAAATCATATCCACTTCAGAGTCTTAACCCTTTATCTTCTTTAATCTTTCTCATAAGTATAGAGCCATGCCAGCTTGCAGATCCGAGCAAATTGACCAGACTCTATACTGTTTGCTGACCAGCTCTAGTTTGATATTCCCGACACTGATGATGCACTGTCCCAAAGGAATGGGAAGTTGGACAAGACCATTTAAGAAATTCCAGCAGGCTAGAGGTTG